AAGGCACGTTTTTTGGGAACCAAACAGACCTGGGCTCCAACCTTCTACTAACTAACTTCCACATACTAACAAGAGATCTTGAACGAGCTGTTTAATCTCTGAACTTTTACTAACTGTAAAATAGAGATAATACTTCCTAGAGTTATTTGAAGGAAAAAAATATGATTACATATAATAAAATTGCTAATATTTATAAAGTGCTTAGTTTTTTGAACAATGATAATATCTCTCCTACTGAAAAATTCAGGTAAATTTTAAACTTTTCAGAAAGAATATTATAATTCACTGAAGGGTGTGCTCATCTTACTCCCAGTACATCTAAGGAAGTCTGTATCAGGTAGTTCCACCAAGATGCTGCTATGGTCTCCAGACGTTAAAAGCAGAATTACTGGGGGTAGGGATGGGAATAAATGGCCTCCAAAGGGCTGGCCAAGCATAAACAGGGATGGCTAAGTCACAGCTCACTGCCTGGAATGATGAGCACCCAATTTGGTGCCTGGGTGGAGTCTGATAATCACTGACCAAAGCTAACCACCTGGCCCAGCACCTGCACACTATCTCCTGCAATTCTCACATTACCACATGGAGTCACTACTAGTATCAGTCCCTTTCCACAAATGAGAAAACAGGCCAGTGGAGACTGAGTAACCTGTCCAAGATCAAGGCAAATTTGAACCCAGGTTGATCTGACTCCCAAACCTATGTTCTAAATACATGAATTTCAGGAACATACATATATATATATATATATATATATTTTTTCTTTTCTTTTTTTTGTGAGTTGGAGTCTCACTCTGTCACCCAGACTGGAGTGCAGTGGCCGCTCCCGGCCACCGCAGCCTCGACCTGCTGGGCTCCGACGATCCTTCCGTCTCAGCCTTCCAAGTAGCTGGAACTACAGGCGTGCGCTACCACGCCCGGCTGATTTTTGATTTATTGTAGAGATGAGGTCTCGTCAAGTTGCCCAGGTGGGTCTTGAACCCACGGGCTCAGGCAATCCACTCACCTCAGCCTCCCAAAGGCGTGGGATTACAGGCTGAGCCACCGAGCCCGGCTATATTTTTTTAATTTTAGAAGTTATATAGAGTTGCCACTTTTGTTACAGGTAAGAATATAATTTCTAGATCTCTGAAAGCCATTTCCTATTACTCACATATGCATTTATTCAATTATCATGTTTAATATCAAAAAGACTTTAAAATAATGCATTATTATTAAAACACAGAAAATAGTCATACCATACATAGGTAATAATAATTCTAAACATAGAAATAATAATATAAAACATAAGAAAAGGGATTGGAAAAATCAAACACAGGAAAGAAGGTCATTTTAAAAGATAGGAAAGACTCTCAGAATAGAAGAAAGTTCTTCCCATGAAAGGACATTTAGACCTTAGACCAACCCGGGCACTGTGGCTCACACCTATAATCTCAGCCACTCAGGAGGCTGAAGCAGGAGATCACTTGAAGTCAGTAGTTTGAGATCAGCCTGAGCAACATAGTAAGACCCCCATCTCTAACAAATTTTTAAAAACCTTATACCACCAAGACACAGAAAAAAATACAAGATCAATCTTTATTTTATAATATGAAATCAGATGTACTGTAATTGTTTGCCAGTTTGGAGATTAATATTCAACAATGAAATAAGTGGAGTTTAATAATCCAATTTGTTTTAGAAGTTCATTTCTAACTAGCCTTTATAGAAAATTGTTTCCCATATACCTATATGGCAAAAAAAAAAAAAAAGGAAATAAAATTCTAACACCATGTCTCCCAATTTGGGGTGAAACAAGCACACCCTTCCTCAACTTCCCATCCTTGCTATTCTTCCCACCATCTTCCCTGAGAGACCAAGAAGGAAGAGGATGATGGGGACAGGTCAGGTCCCCACGCCACTTGGGCCTGTGGGGACTCTGACTACCCATCCAGCAGTAGTTAAGCATTTATCTGAAAGCATTGCTGCAAATGGATGGGGAACGCTTCTGCAAAAACTGGCACAGTTTGAGACTATACCTAGGGAATTCTGTCCCAAATTTCAGGCCCCCAAAGCCATCCCACCATGTTACTTTTTTCTTTGAGGCCCAAAGAGCTTCTCTCTCCTCAGAAGGCTCCTACTGAAATGCAAATATTTCTGTGGGTTTAAGCATATCAGCTAACACTTTTCTTATCAGCCACAGCACCTTTGCTATCAGCAAACACCTTGGCTTAAATTATTTGACAACTTTCAGAGTGTGTGTGAGAAAGAAACCCTGCTTTGTCCCTGGTAGAGGAAGGTGAAGGGTGGAGATAAGGGTTTGGGGAATGCAAAGTGAACAGAGGGAATTGCTAGAGAAGACCTAAGATGTGTCTCCACTAACTTGACCACTTGTTTTGCTTGCCCTGTGCTCAAGAAAGAGGAGACAAAGAGAGGGGTGGGAGGAGTGTGTGTGTGTGTGTGTGTGTGTGCGCACACATGTATATGTATGTGTGTATGTGTTGTATAATTTGTGTAAGGACTCCTAGGAAGAAGGCAGACAGTAAGTTCTGGGAAAAAGATTACAGGGAAATTTGTGTGGGCTCTCAAGGGATGGTTGGTCTGTTGTTTTAATGGACTCATTTTTTTAAAATGTTTAACTGTCCAGGCACAGTGGGTCACATCTATAATCCCAGCACTTTGGGAGGCCAAGACAGGAGGACCGATTGAGCCCAGGAGTTCAAGACCAGCCTGGGCAACATAGTGAGACCTTGTCTCTACAAAAAAAAAAAAAAATTTAATTAGCTGGGTGTGGTGGCATGCACCTGTAGTTCCAGGTACTCGGGAAGCTGAGGTGAAAGGATCGCCTGACCCCAGGATAAGGCTGTGGTGAGCCATAATTATGCCATTGCATTCCAGCCTGAGTGACAGAGTAAGAGCCCAACTCAAAAAAAATAAACATTGTTTAACAGCTATCTGCTCTTCTAATACCCAACTTCTCAGTTCCCTTCTAAAAGGTCATTTGAAAATTTACCCTTCTCCACTCCAAATCAGATAATTTTAAGCATCCAATGAGTAGTTATATTAAGTAAACTTGTTAGCAGGTATGAGATGCTATAGGTTGTAACCAGCATTGAGTAGCTGGGGACAGTGAGTTATGATATAGAGGTATGGGGTGTCCTGTTTCAGCGGCTGACAACTGATGCCAGCTCCTGATCCCAGAATCACATCTCTCAGTTGAAAGTTCAGTGTAAGCCGGGCTCAGTGGCTCAGAATGTAATTCCGCACTTTTGGGAGGCTGAGGTGAGTGGATTGCCTGAGCCCGCGGGTTCGAGACCCGCCTGGGCAACTTGGCGAGACCTCATCTCTACAATAAATCAAAAATCAGCTGGGCGTGGTAGCACGGTGCCTGTAATTTCAGCTACTCGGAAGGCTGAGGCGGAAGGATCGCTGGAGCCCAGTGGGTCGAGGCTGCGGTGGCCAGAAGCGGCCATTGCACTCCAGTCTGGGTGACAGAGTGAGACTCCAACTCAAAAAAAAAAAAAAGAAATAAAGTTCAGTGTAGATGGCACCCACTCCTACTCACTCTCACAGAGAAGAATCAGTGGCATCTACAGGTGTATACTCCTATCTTTCAGCACCATTCACTCCATTTTGCTCTCCTAAATTCTTCTAGAAATTTTCCACTAATATATTTTTGTGTGGCTCTAGGGAATGAAAAAGACATAAGGCAGTGGTTTATTAAAAATAATCATGTGTAACTGATATTTAATTCTTCAAATAGGTCACAAGATAAAAGTCAACTTACAAAATTATAAACACAATGTCATTCCAACACTGTAAAAGTATGTTATATATATGTATATTAAAATAGAAAGACAGAAAGAAAGTGCACTAAAATATTAGCTTAGTTAATATTAATATTAAGAATGTTTATTTCTGGGCACTGAGATTGAGGGTGATATTGCCTTTCCTCAAATACCCCTACTTCTCTCCAGATTTCTGACCTTTACCTCGTCAAGTCACTATTATCTCTCATCTGGACTTCTACAGTAGCCTCCTAACTGATCTCTCTGCAGCTGGTCTTGCCAATTCACTCACCACATAGAATCAAGTGTGATCATCTCCAGATGCAAATCCGGACACCATGGAGACAAGATGACAAACTGGCACCAGCTGTTGGCTCCTTCCATGAAACCTAACCCTGGAGATGCCCAAGAAGCAAAAGTGAGTTTAATGGATCCAATACTTATTGCAAAAGCTCCTTGTTTGCTTCTATGTTTGTTGGTTGGTAGTGAGGCAGGGTAGCTAGCACAGGTTAGACATAGATAGATAAATTTCCCATAGGCAGGTTTTAGGAAGGTTCAGACATTTTAAAAATTACATTTTACTGCAGGCCAAGTTGGCAGCTTACTCCACCCCCCTTGGCAAATCAAAAGAAAATCCCATTTGGTGTAAGAATAAAACAACCCAACCTTTCAATCCAAGGTGTAGCATAATAATCACTAAGAATCTTTCAGGTTCCCTGTCAAGGCAGAAGGCCCAGTTTCACTCCTTAAGTAACCAAAGCCATAGAAATAATAAGACCACTTTTTAGCTCATGAACTTGTGAATTGGAAACGTCTGGCAGGTCGCCTGCAAAAGACAATGTGGTCTGGAAAAGAAGACCTCTCCCCTCTTCTCCTCCCATCAGAAGCAGAGAGATTACCTGTGTCCCACCCTCTTTAGCATATCAATTGTTTGGGAAAACATATCTAGTTCCTTAGTTAAGAGCAAAAACGCAGTCATTTAAAGAGACTTGCTGTGCCAGTCTTTTTTCTTTTCTTTCTCTAATACACTTTGTTTTAAAACTTGGCTGGCGGTTCTAAAATTCAATTTAGGGATGAGCCAAAGAATCCACGGGTTTGGGCCGCAGCCCACTCGACACCAGTAGGAAGTCCAAAGCTGGTGAGGGGAGCAGCGGCCGCAGGGAGCGCGGCGAGCCCGGCGGCGGCCCGGGTCGCGCGAGAGGTCCTACGTTGTGACAGGTTTGCACCTTGCGTGAGTATAAGCTAGTCGTTCTTGGCTCAGGAGGCGTTGGAAAGTCTGCTCTGGCTGTGCAATTTATCCAAGGAATTTTCGTTGAGAAATATGACCCTACGGTAGAGGACTCTTATAGAAAGCAAGGTGAAGTAGATGCCCAACCCTGTAGGCTTGAAATCTTGGATACTGCGGGAACGTAACAATTTACAGTAATGAGGGATTTGTACATGAAAAACCGGCAAGGCTTCACTTTAGTTTACTCCATCACAGCACAGTCCACATTTAATGACTTACAAGATCTGAGAGAACAGATTCTTCGCGTTAAAGACACTGATGATGTTCCAATGCTTCTGGTCGGTAATAAATGCGACTTGGAAGACGAAAGAGTTGTGGGAAAGGAACAAGGTCAAAACCTAGCAAGACAACGGAATAACTGTGCATTCTTAGAATCTTCTGCAAAATCAAAAAAAAAAAAAAATGTTAATAAGATCTTTTATGACGTAGTGCATCTAATTAGCAGAAAAACTCCAGTGCCTAGGAAGGCTCGCAAAAAGTCGTCACGTCAGCTCCTTTAATAGGTAGAAGGCATTGTAGCTCTGAGCCAGGTGTGAAGAACTGTTGCTCAATTCAGCAGTGCCAGCATTCCAACTTTGTTAAACCTATCAGCATCTTACGTGGACTTTCCTGTGGTGGTTCCCTTTAAGATGCAGATGAAAGCTACTATATAGTCTGCACATTCTAATCACTTTCCAGTATCACAAGAGAGGTTTTTTCTTTTTTTTTTTTTTTCTTTTTTTTTGTGTTGGGGTCTCACTCTGTCACCCAGACTGGAGTGCAGGGGCCGCTCCCAGCCACCGCAGCCTCGACCTGCTGGGCTCCGGCGATCCTTCCGCCTCAACCTTCAG